AATAACATCGACAAAATGTCAGCTTGCTGCTTCAAAATGGAAGTGGTGAATGATTGAAAAATGAGATTTTATTATTCGAATTAAACAAGTTATTATAAAGATATAATTCCTAGAGATACGGTCTATAAATAAATCGTTCGACGGAAAGCACCTGCGGAAAGCGAGCATATTAATCCGTAAAATTTCTTCGTTCCTTTGGAAAATTCCGATCGACGCCGACTCTCACCTTTTCTCCGCGGCAAATAACGATCAAAGCCAGAAACGGCGGCCAGATTTTTGCGACGAGACAGCTTTTCCGTCGCTGAGAGTCGCACTTCCTGCAGGTATCTATTCCGAAGATAACGTCGAGTTTCCCCTGTTCGACAAAGAAACGAATCCCAGCCGGAAACACAGTGGGAATGATAAGCGAACGCGGCGCGACGGCCGGGTTCGCCGAGACCCGGAAGCGGCGGTGCAGAATATCGGTATCGATATTCAACGGGGAGACAGACGCCGGCGAAAAATAAGGAGCCCGGCGCGTAACACGCGCGGACGGAAAGTCGTGGCGAGTCGGGTCTCGGTGGACATACAGTCGGACACTAAATTCCCCGTTTTCGAGGCCCGAGCTTGGTCGCCATTTTTGTTCCGTAAACCGACTGAAAATAATCGTACACAGGGCATCCGTTGCAAAGAGCGATCGTCGAGCTGCAAATTTATAACGGATTTATTTCGAAAAGTAATCTTCCGATGCTTTTTTAGCCGTTTCGTTCTGTATTTCTATATTGAAAAAAAAGCAATATTGTTCATTCTGATCGGTAGGTTTAGCGTTGAAGTTTAAAGGCTCGGTCGTTTCTTCGAGAAAATTTTGGACAGAAAATTTGGACAAAATTTTCTCGAAGGAACGACCGGGCCTTTAAACTTTAACGCTAAACCTGCCGGTCAGAATGAACAATATTGCTTCTTCTTTTTAAATATAGAAATTATGAAGACATTCTCATAGAAAAGATAGATCCAATAAATTTCTTATATCCATGTGTAAAATATATTATAAATGGAGAAAAAATACTGAATATATTAAATATATTAAAAATTGTAAAGTAATACGCGTTATTTGCTTTCTGGGATCAGTAGGTTTAGGTTAGAATGCAGGCTGTTAGAATGTAGACTGTTAGAATGCAGAATGCAGAGCAAGATCTTGGATACTCGAGCTGCTAGATCCTGCGACACATTCGTTCCTTTGAAATGTGACGTTACAAATGAAACAGAATTTCTCGATTTAAAATGGAAAGTTGTACATCTGTCGCAGTTTTGAAACGTTTTGCAGATCGTAATAAATAAACTGCAGATTTTACGCATTTATGGGAAAATTGTGTATCCGCAATTTAGAATACTAGAAAGATTAAAAGAATTGAAAAATGTCGATGTATTAATTTGAGTCGATTAATATTATTGCTGTAAGAAAGAACTCGCTATTTAGTATCTATGTTTTGCAATTATGATGCAGGCAATATTTATTTTGCGCAAAAATCCGCCGTAATAAGTAATAAAATTAGGAGTATATATATATATAACAGATTAATTTTCAAATTAATTCTCAAGTGAATTCTCAAGTTAATTCTCAAATTAATTCTCAAATCTGAGCAAACATAATTAAATAATAACATTAGATAATCATTCCACGATAACTAGACTGCGGACTTTACGCATTTATTACATAACAAACATGAATAGGTGGAACATAAAACTGTAAAACTATTCAGAGAATTTAAAGATATTGTTACATTACCTCCAACTTATGAGAATGATTAAAAAAGGGAAAATCATTTTCGTCTAACTTCGCTTTCTTACGATCAAGTTGGACAAGCTTGATTTCGTGTAAAAATCCACAAAGTAATAATTAAACCGTGGATTTTACGCAATTACGACGAACACGAATACATCGAATACGAAACTGAAACGATTTTAAAAGAATTCAAGGATACTGTTGCATTGTTTTCCAACCAATTACGATCATTACAAGAAAAAAAGACATTTTCACGTAAGCTACACCCCTTACAATTAACTTGGACAATTTTTATTTTCCATAAAAATCCGCAATGATGATACCAGCGGCAGAAAGTCTAAATAAATCCTGTCTTATCTTCTTCGCGAAGAAACGCGCGTTAGTCGGACTTGTCGTCGGTTCCGTCGCCGCGCGATCCGTTTCACGGGAATTTGGATCGGTTCGAATGCCGGCGGTTTTTCGAAAATCGTCGATTCAACGTCCGGCCGATTTCGCGAGCGACTGTACGCACCGGCGGCGGTGCGCGCGGCCGAAGAAAACGCGGCCGGAGAGCAAGCGAGAAAGGAGTTTCGGCGAAAGGGGGGTGGGGTGTTGTGAAATGCAAGGAAGGATGCAGTGGTGGTGTCGTGGTGTGCCGACAGAACGAATCAGGACCAGTTTCAGGCCTGCACTCACGTTATAGCCACGTTCGTACGTGCTGCCGAGGAACCGGACGAAGAGCAACAGGCGCACGGTACCCGAACCGGAGGAACAACGGAGAAGGAGAACTGAAGAAGGACGAGACGAAGAGGAGACGGAGGAACGAGAGGAAGAAAAAAGAGGGTGTACGCCGGCTGTGTCGTCGTTGTCGTCGTCGAGTTAAGGGTTGGAGAAGGAACGAGGGACCATGTACCATCGTGTGTTCGTCCTTTTGTTGGTCAGTGCGGTGACCTTGAGCAGGGCACAGTTTCGGTGCCCGGAACCGAAGGGCTTCTTCCCGGACCAGGAGCAATGCGACCTCTACTACGTCTGCCTCGACGGCAAAGCGGAAGAGAAGCTCTGCAAGGATGGCCTCGTGTTCAGGGACGACAACCCGAAGAAGGAGCTCTGCGACATACCCGCGAACGTGCCCTGTGGAGAACGAACCCTTCTTCGTAAGTTCCCTGAATTCGATTCCGTAAGTTCTCTGTTGTATTTTTTTCCTTTCGGAGAGTGAACACGATGAGGCAGCTTGGTCATAAGTAGACCGCGGACTTTTATGCAAAATAAGAGTGTCCGGTTACCGTTGTAAAACACACGAGCCAATTAGGAACACGTTCCTTTGTTTCGTAATTTTGTTAGAACGATGGTAATGTACCGGTATACTCCAATTTTTCTAATTGAATTTATTTAATCTAATCTTCTGATCTTAATCTATTTTTTTTCAAATTGCGTAATTTTTCAAATTACCGGTTTTCGTTAGAAACGCATGAAATCCGCAGTCTAGTCGTAAGTTACCGATGATGGTGATTAGTAGACTGCGGATTTGAGGCGTCTATGGGAAAAATGCGTAGGCAAATCAGGGTCATTTGATTCTTCTGTTATCGAAGTTTGGGGTGGAAACGAATCAGAATATGGAAGAAGTAGCAATTGTCTCGAAAAATTGTTCTATTAGGTAAATTATTAAGGATGGAGAAGTGCTAATCAAGGTAGCTGCGAAAGAGGTCATGGTGCAAGGGTTGACGCTACTAACGAAATTTCGAATTTATCTTTTTTCCAAGGCACAAATTTCAACACGAAATTCGTAGGCTATCGATAACATTATTTCTTGGTTAGACCCGAAATTAAATTAAGTTTGTCGGCGCGCTAGTCGAAGAGTTAACACTAAACATACTGAGGTTTAAATGTGACTGGCGTGTGCCGCCTTATAAAATGATAACATTATCAGAATAAAATTATAAGATTATATGAATAAATTTAAAAAATTATAAGAATAAATTTAAAAGTTTATAAGAATAAAATTATGAGACTATAAGAATAAATTTTATAAGGTTATAAGAATAAAATTATGAGACTATAACAATAAAATTATAAGATCATAAGAATAAAATTGTGAGATCATAAGTAGACTACGGATTTTATGCATTTATAACAAATATAAGTAGTTGAAATCTAAAATTGTGAAGATATAAGAAGAATTTGGTAATATTGTTGCATTATTTTCAACTTATTAAAATGTAATTTTATCAAAAAATAATAATAATAATAAAAGATATAATAATAATAATAATAATAATAATAATAATAATGATAAGATAATAACAAAAATAACTTATCAAATTGTAATCATTGCGGTCAATTTCAATTTTGCATAAAGATCCGCAGTCTAACCCGACGAATAAACTAACAAGATCGTAAGAATAAAATGATAAGAATTACAAAATATAAAATAAATAGTACGTTCGATGTCAGAAAGCTCTTCGTTGCCGACAAGTTTCAAGTAAAAATCGATTCGTTGGAATATATCGCGCCCCGGGAGCATTCTGGTTCCATTCGCCGATGCAGAAAATGGGACCGAAGCGGACGGAAGACGAATACACGGAGAATGCAAGCCGGTTGGAACCGATCTCGAAGTTTCCGACTCTAAAAATGGAATTCTGGTTCCGTTCGATGGTCTTGTCTCCGGCGGCGGACACACGACGAAAGAGTAACGATTAGACCGGGTCGCGCGGCGTGTTGGCAAAGATGTGATAAATTAGGGTAAACCGGTTTCCCTGTGCATTCTCCGCCAAATTCGCTTTAGGGCCCCGGTTTTTCTGCGCCGACTTACTTTCCTCGTCGAGATTATTTTTTACTCCCCCGACGAATCTGCATATGCTAATCCTCCTCGTTTTCGCGGGCCCAGGAATTCTCGGAGCTAAGGGGCCGGATTATCTGGCCTTAGTCCGATTTGACGATGTACGTATGCACGTATACTCTTCAATCGTTTCGACAAAATCGACTCAGATTCGAGGAACCGTCGAACCGGGATTTAGCTGGCGCGTCTGATCACTGGCGGCCCTTTCTACTTGCTCCGATCATCGTCGCTCAGCAGAACAAATTCCAAAGAAGATATCCTAGATCTCCGTCGTACACAAATTCCAGGGCATCTCTTTCGATTCCTCGTTCCCTTTGATTCATAAATACCAGCGTACTTTCATCCATGGTACTCTAAATCTTAGATTATCATTCGCATACTAGCAGTACAGGTTTTCCAGCGTGTCTTAAATATCTCTTTGCCATTCATACATTCCAGTACGCCTTTATTTATTTCTCGCGATTCATACTTTGCGAGCCGTAAATAGCTGTGCACTTTCCATCTATGGTACTCTAAATCCTAAACTATCATTCATGTACTAGCAGTACAGGTTTGTGTAACATGTCTTAAATAATTCTTTGCCATTCGTATGTATTCCAATACATCTTTATCTGTGACTTGTGATGCACATTTTGTGGGCTATAAATAGCAGAACACTTTCATTCTTAAACTGGTACTTTCTTTGCTGTATTTTTATCTGTCATGGTCAGACTGCGGATCCTTATGCAAAATAAAAGTTTCTGCATCAATTGAAAGAAATAGGTATTAAGTGGAAGGTTTTCTGTTGCAATTATTTTAGTAAAATGATAATAATGTGGCAGTGTTCTCGAAATTTTTGGATGGTTCTTCTGCTTTATATAAATAGATATATAAATACATAAATAAAATAAAATAAGATAAAATAAAATATATAGAATAAGATAAAAAATATATAAAGATAAATGCATAAAATTCGCAGTCTAATCACAACTTGAATACTTCCTTGTCATTCACAAACGCCAGTAAATCTTTATCTTTATTCTTTAGATTTATATAAATATCAGTATATCATATTCTATATTTAATATTCTATATAAATGTACATATCATATTCTAAACCTCCCTCTATTATTCCTAAGCCAGCAGTTCAGCTTTGTCTATCATGTCTGAGATATTTCTTTATCATTCATAAAGTCAGTACATTTTTTTACCTGTGTTTACCTTTGTCATTCATAAACAGCAATACACTTTTATACCTGTTCTTTGTAATTCATGAATAGTAGGACATTTTTTATCTGTCCTATGTCACTCCTAAATAGCAGTACACATTTTTTATCTGTGCTTTATGATTCCTAAATAGCAGTACATTTTTTGATCTCGCCTTTGTGATTCATAAATAGCAGTACATTTTTATATCTGTCCTTCGCGATTCATAAATAGCAGTACATATTTTTTATCTGTCCTTTGTGATTCATAAATAGCAGTACATTTTTATATCTGTCCTTCGCGATTCATAAATAGCAGTACATATTTTTTATCTGTCCTTTGTGATTCATAAATAGCAGTACATTTTTATATCTGTCCTTCGCGATTCATAAATAGCAGTACATATTTTTTATCTGTCCTTTGTGATTCATAAATAGCAGTACATTTTTATATCTGTCCTTCGCGATTCATAAATAGCAGTACATATTTTTTATCTGTCCTTTGTGATTCATAAATAGCAGTACATTTTTATATCTGTCCTTCGCGATTCATAAATAGCAGTACATATTTTTTATCTGTCCTTTGTGATTCATAAATAGCAGTACATTTTTATATCTGTCCTTCGCGATTCATAAATAGCAGTACATATTTTTTATCTGTCCTTTGTGATTCATAAATAGCAGTACACATTTTTCATCTGTCCTTTGTCATTCATAAACAGCAGTACATATTTTTTATCTGTCCTTTGTGATTCCTAAATAGCAGTACATTTTTTGATCTCTCCTTTATGATTCATAAATAGCAGTACATTTTTATATCTGTCCTTCGCGATTCATAAATAGCAGTACATATTTTTTATCTGTCCTTTGTGATTCATAAATAGCAGTACACATTTTTCATCTGTCCTTTGTCATTCATAAACAGCAGTACATATTTTTTATCTGTCCTTTGTGATTCCTAAATAGCAGTACATTTTTTGATCTCTCCTTTATGATTCATAAATAGCAGTACATTTTTATATCTGTCCTTCGCGATTCATAAATAGCAGTACATATTTTTTATTTGTCCTTCGCGATTCATAAATAGCAGTACATATTTTTTATCTGTCCTTTGTGACTCGTAAATAGCAGTACATATTTTTTATCTGTCCTTTATGATTCCTAAATAGCAGTAGATTTTTTGATCTGTCCTTTGTGATTCATAAACAGCAATACATTTTTTGATCCGTCTCCTTTGTGATTCATAAATATCAGTACAACTTTATTCATCCCATCTTAAATGTCTAGCTATATTTATCAGCAGCCTTATCTGTGATATTTTGAATGCTATTCACGGCACGCGTTTGTTCAGAGGAGCCACAGGCAACAAAAGGCTGTCCCCGTGCTAACGGCTACTTCAAGCACGAGGACCCGAATTCCTGCGACCGTTTCGTCAACTGCATAGACGGCGTCGCTCAGATTCTGCCCTGTCCGCCCGGCTTGATCTACGAGGACAAGATGTCGAGCTGCGTCTGGCCAGCAGACGCCAGCAGACTCTGCGAGAACGTGAAGAGGGACGTGCTCGACGATGGCTTCGTCTGCCCCGACGGAGACGTCGCGGGACCACTCGGCAGGATCCTGCCGCACCCCACCTATCCTCATCCCGAGGACTGCGCTAAGTTCTACATCTGCAAAAATGGCGTCGTGCCGCAGAAAGGACAATGCGATAGTGGCACTGTGTACAGCGAGGACAGCTTCAGATGCACCGAACCGGAGAACGTGCCGGGATGGTGAGTTCAAGAGTTTTCTTAACGATCACTTGGAAATTGGTTCCTCTGTGCACGTTTTGCTTTTTCATGGATTGTTTGTTCAGTATAAAATGTGGTATAAAAATGTTAAATTGAAAACAGACACGTTTAAATAATATTAAAAATATCTAATTCATGACAGACACACACTATTTACCTAGTATTAAAAATATTTAATGCAAAACAGACTTATTTATGTTTTTAATTAAAAACAGACACATTTAGCTAGTATTAAAAATATTTAACTCAAGATAGACACATCTACCTAGTATTAAAAATATTTAATGCAAAACAGACACATTTAGCTAATATTAAAAATATTTAATTCGAAACAGACACATTTACCTAGTATTAAAAATGTCTAATTAAAAGAAGATACATATTCCTAATACTAAAAATAATTAATTAAAAACAAACATACATCCTTAGTATTAAAAATATGTGATTAAAAAACACATTGCTGTCCCTCTCTCACCGAATGTTACAATTGCATTAATCTATTTTTTATCGATTGTGAAAGTAATTAACAATAAATGTTTTGCTGAGGGTGGTTCTGAGTGGCAGAACATGGCAAATATGTTGCGATTCTACTGTCTAGTAGATTTTTAATCCTGCCACGATATTTGATTTTATTGGAAGATTGACGATGTGCGTTTTTGTTGCAGCGAGGATTACTACAAGAACAAGAATTAAGTAAAGACAAGGTGTCAGTTACTCAGCGGTGCATCTGTAACGCTTAATATTGTTTTTTTTTTATACTTAGGAACAATAAACACCCGTGATACACTTACGTAAACGAATGGCCTTTGCATATACCTTCCACGACAATTACACCTTTCTCCTTACGTAAATCGATTATGTTGCAGAAATTAATGGCGGCGATAACTCTGTTACTAATTTTATGAACTGTGTCGAATACCGTCGTTGTACAGAATTTATTTAAGCCCCTATGATCGGACGTTTTTACGTGGGTTGAAAATAATCGCAATCTTTAGGTATAATAAATTGATAACAAATTGACAATTTTTTTGGAAAGTCAATGAAAGTCAATGAAAAATTTACAAATTCTTTTAACTAAAACTTAGACGAAATTAGAAAAGGATCAATTGTAAATTAAATGATATTCAATGGAAATGAAACTAAAACTATATGAAAAATAACTGAAATTAAATGAAAATGATATGGAATTAGATGAAAATTCAATGAAATTTATAGAAAATTCACTGAAATTGATTGAAAATTCACTGGAATTTATAGAAAATTCGCTGAAATTGATTGAAAATTCAATGGAATTAAATGAATATTCAGTGAAATTTATAGAAAATTCGCTGAAATTGATTGAAAATTCAATGGAATTAAATGAATATTCAGTGAAATTTATAGAAAATTCGCTGAAATTGATTGAAAATTCACTGGAATTTATAGAAAAAATTCACTGAAATTGATTGAAAATTCAATGGAATTAAATGAATATTCAGTGAAATTTATGGAAAATTCGCTGAAATTGATTGAAAAGTCACTGGAATTTATAGAAAATTCACTGAAATTGATTGAAAATTCAATGGAATTAAATGAATATTCAGTGAAATTTATGGAAAATTCGCTGAAATTGATTGAAAAGTCACTGGAATTTATAGAAAATTCACTGAAATTGATTGAAAATTCAATGGAATTAAATGAATATTCAGTGAAATTTATAGAAAATTCGGTGAAATTTATAGAAAATTCGCGGAAATTAAATGAAAATTCAGTGAAATTTATCAGATATTAAATGGAGCTAGATAGAGATTCGATCAAATTAAAAAACATTAATAAATCGGTATGCGATTTGAAAGTTCCATTCAGCCATGGAGGGTTAACGGAAGACAACTAAGAATATGATTCACCATAGCCGTACAGCCAGCGAAAAAGAAGAAGTCGTTTATGCTGAATCAACGAACCCCGAGGAGAACAATGCAGCCAGTCAGATTCCAGAGGAAGTATCCGCGAGTAGGAGAGGACAATCGCGTTTCTTAATGCAAATCGCGGACAAAATCGATCTTGTTTGAATACAATAAGCGGCGCGTAATTTTTCCTCGGGCTGCTAGACAATTTCACTTAATTCGCCTGATTGCAACCTTTCTCCTTACGTAATTTACGATGTGCTCGGCGAAACGCGCTCTCGCGACCCTGTCCGATGATTTACATTGTAGCCAAGCCCAGTTCACCGTTTCGAATTCGTCGATCGTATTCGGTGCTCGACGGTCGCGAGAACGTTTTGACGGCTTGAAAGTCACGATGCGTTTTCTTGATAAATTGTAGGACCGATAAGAGGTTTCCGATAAATCCGTGTGTGCAACTTAAAAAAAAAGTACGTTGAACTATGTAGGGTTAAGGACGCAGAAGAGCACGGATCGCGAAACTGGTAATATATTACGATGCGTTTTGAAAGAAACGTGGAAAGAAAGAGGTCAAGCCGTGGTTTCTCTCGGTAATTGCAGGCCGGGGCCATTTTCTGATTCGGGTCTCGTCGAAGGCGAGTCTCCTCCGGCGATCCATCAGACACACATGACCGTGACGTATTCATTTCGTTTGTCTGACTGGTCGACCGACAATACCGATCGCGAGTATCGAGATCGTTGGTATTCGTTGGCTTTCACTGTCCATGCTGGGAGATCTGGTTCCCTGTTCGGGACCGAAGCTGCAATGACTGTTGCATAACGCCGGTTATCCTCCCGGATGGATAACTATACCTCGCGCAGGCACTGTATCGAATTTTAATAAACCCGGCGGAGACTGAAAATTACAGTGATCGCGAACAAGCTATACCTGTAATTTTAATCATCGAATATGGTGATACACTGACACAGCCGATTTAAATGCTTAATGCTAAATAGATTAAAAGCAAATATCTGGTGCTAAATGAATTAGAAATAAATGCTTGATGCTAAATAGATTAGAAATAAATACTTAATACTAAACAGATTAGAAACAAATATTTAATGCTAAATAAATTAGAAATAAATATTGAATACTAAATAGATTTGAAATAAATATTTAACAGTAAATACATGAGAAACAAATGTTTAATGTTAAATAAATTAATACTAAATAGACTACTTAATACTAGATAGATTAGAAATAAATACTTAATACTAAATAGATTAGAAAAAAATTTATTTAATACTAAATAAATTAGAAATAAATACTTAATACTAAATAGATTAGAAATAAATATTTAACAGTAAATACATGAGAAACAAATGTTTAATGTTAAATAAATTAATACTAAATAGACTACTTAATACTAGATAGATTAGAAATAAATACTTAATACTAAATAGATTAGAAAAAAATTTATTTAATACTAAATAAATTAGAAATAAATACTTAATACTAAATAGATTAGAAATAAATATTTAACAGTAAATACATGAGAAACAAATGTTTAATGTTAAATAAATTAATACTAAATAGACTACTTAATACTAAATAGATTAGAAAAAAATATTTAATGCTAAATAAATTAGAAATAAATACTTAATACTAAATAGATAAGAAATAAATAGTCAATACTAAATAGATTAGAAACAAATATTTAATACTAAATAAATTAAAAATAAATACTCAATACTAAACAGATTAAAAATAAATACTTAAAACAGGAAATAATTTAATTCATGAATTATTCTAGGAAGACAAGTTCAAAGAGATCGTTCGACGTTATCGAACTGCGTTTAACAGCAGATTATCGAATCCCCTGAATTACCATTAAAATTCCGATGATCCAAGCAATTATGTAAACGACGTTTATCTTAATAATCGCCGCTAGAAATTCCGCACGTCCGCAAATATGAAAAGACGCGTGGAAATGTTAACGGCAAGAAAATCCTTCTGGCTATTATAAAACGTCGTTTACCGGTTCTTCGGCTAATCGAAGAGCATCATCTGCGTTGCCTCGGTATTAAACGAGCCAAACCGATCCAGCGATCGTCTACTGCGATTAACCACGGGAACAGACTTTTTCGATCTATTATGTAATCCGCCTGGATCCTAGGGGCAACGGATTTTCTCGCAGCTTCTAAAATGTCAGGAATAGTGGGCTCTTCTGCGTGCACCGGGTTGCACAAGCGAGGGTGTTCAGGTATTCAAGGATCGTGTTCAGGAAACGATACTGTTCCGGAAAATCCTTCGAACTTTCAGATGATACTCGTACATTTTGCGGACTTATTAAACACCTGAGTCGAGTACCAAAATGATCGATGCGAGATGTACATTTCTGTGTCACCCTTCGACGCAGACGATTTTTATCTGACAAAAACGTCATCGGTTCAATGAATAATTAATATGTCTTCGGCTGCGTGTCATACACTTTCGTAAATCGCTAAACGATTGAAAACAGATGTTACGTTAAAAATGTTGCAGAAATAATTGCATTTTATTACGACCTCAGTTCCTGTATCTGTGACATAACTGCAGACATTTTTAATCTAATTTAAAGATTGGTCTATTAAAAAATTGATTAGAAACTCTTCGGCTGTGTACCATAAATTTGGAAAATCGCCTATTTAGAATATTTATCCCCACTTCATTGGCTTTCGATACAACATTTCTTTTTTATCATTCAATTATTCCTCTATATATTACGTAAGTCTAATAGTAAAGACTCCCTTATCCGAACATCTATTTCTACAATATTTTAATCATTGTATCTAATTATTGATATTATTAAGATACATTATTCGCCTAGTAAAGAGAACCAGAACAAAATTGTTCGATGATAGTATGTTTTAGCATCGAGACACTACAAAAATAAACCTAATAAAAGAGGTTCTAGCGTAATCAAAACTGTTTATATCTTCGAAAAATCTCGTCGTTCGCAAACCCATGGAATCGACGAATCGCGGGCATCGGAGCCGATCTGCGTCGAAAGAAAAAGTGGTCTCGCAGAAAGCTGAGCGGTCGGCTCGGGTCTATTCGCCGCGGAGACCGAGCGGGCACGAATCGAGCGTGCAGAATGAAGTCGCTGGGACCGAGGCTGGTGGGGTACGGCGAAAGAGAGCCGAGCAACTGTACCGAGCAAGTGAAGGGAGAGAAGCTCTGTGTCCCGAGGTCGATAACAAAGTGTCAGTAGTCAGAGTCGACCCGTGGCGGATCCAGAGCCCGAGCCCGTGCACTATGAGCTATCCGAGGAGCGCGACCTTATTGGCCCTGGTGGCTTTCCTGGCCTCCGGTAAGTTTTTTCCCGCCCATGGGCGCACCACCACCCGGTCCCGTCGATCCTTTTGCCCCCGGTGCCGACGAATTAACCGTGCCGATGCGACTGCATCAAGAACCCCCACGGCGCGCGCGTCTCTCGTTCGGTGCATCGTGTGCATCCTGCGTCCTGCGTCCTGCATCCTGCGTCGCCGCGCGTCGCCGTTCTCCGGACTGCATCCCGCAGGCGTGTCATCTCTCTCTCGTGCTGCTCGTCTCGCCTAAGCGTCTCGTTACGACACCCACGTGGCAGAATTTCAATAGCTTTCACCAACGGTCCCGCCGTCGGCTCTTTCCGCGCCATATGGTTACGTATGGCACGACCTATGATATAATGGCGGAGACCGTGCGACGTTTACGCCTTCGCCGTCCATCATCTCGCGAGTTCGTGTTACAACGTCGATCTTCTTAGATTCGCGGCGAATCTTCGTATACGGTCGAATTCGTTCGCATCGGTGACAGGAAACGGGAGCCGAATGTTCTTCGGTCGATCGTTTTTCGAAACGCTTTCTATTCCAACTCTTAACGCTGGGTTTGACGGAACACGCCATTTTGACGAGTCACAAATTTTTTCATTTGGTATCATTGAAATTGCGACGAATGAAATTAACAATTTAACTACCGGACGCCTATTGATTTCGATGACTGAACTGCGGACATGAGAAGCTTAATCATCTTCTTTTAAATAACGTTTTTGAAAGAGTTTGCCACGTTGCACGAATCTAAATAATTTGATGGATTGTAGATGAGGGACTTGTAGTTTTTAAACAATTTTTCCATGATTCTTAACTGTTGATCTTCGATTTTGAAAGAACAGATAAAGTGTTGAACCACAGAAAACAGAACTGTACTAATAAACGATGCAAGACGACAATTACATTCTATAGTACTTTTCTCTTCAATTCATTATTTTATGAGAGTCGCTGATAATTCGGTTATAATCAATTATTACAATTAATTCAAATAATTCGTTTGAACGAGTGGATTAGCATCACAGCGGCGCAAGCGACATTTTCGAAAACGTTGACTTGTGTCTTCAAACATAATCTACACGTGCGAAAAGGTTAAAAAGACAAGTGAAATAAATGATAAAAAGTTCCTACGAATTAACTTAGCTATGAATTAAATGAAATTATTGATTTCGTGGACATTTCTGGATTTGATATCCGACGCTCGACGTGCTAGCGAAACTAAGTTATTCATCCCGAGATCCTAAGTTATTCTCTTCTTTTAAACTGTGTTAGTCGGCCATCCGTCTTCTTCGTCCTTCATAATTGATCCGTTCCTTCGTGGCCTCTGCCTCTTCAGGATCCCTTCAGGATCGCCGGTCCGGGTGGTTCCAGGATTTAATTAGCCCCCGGTGATGGTTATTTATTATTATTATTTATTATATTATTATTTATTATTATAATTTATTATTATAATTTATTATTTATTATTTATTATTATTATGGTTATTTATTATTATTATTATTATTATTATTATTTATTATTTATTATTATTATCCGTCTTCTTCGTCCTTCGTAATTGATCCGTTCCTCCGTGGCCTCTGCCTCTTCAGGATCCCTTCAGGATCGCCGGCCCGGGTGGTTCCAGGATTCAATTAGCCCCCGGTGATGGTTATTTACGACGCCAGGTGCTACTGTTCTCACTTGTTAGCTCTGGTTATTCGCTGCGGTATTAATAGTTTCGCTGCGCAGATTCGTTTATCTCGCGGATCGGCTGCTTCTTCGAGTGATCGATGCGCGGCTCCTTTCCGGATCCCCTCGCGATTCACGGTAGATCGTAGATCTGTTCGACTGTGTTGCTTGGCACCCTAGAACATACGCTGTATTTGATTCCTTCCTGTTCTCTTGCACGAGTTGCATCACTCGTGAATTTATCGAGCAATCTTCGTAATTAACGATTAAATTGTTCGCACCTTACTAATCTCGATAAACAGATACACATTCTTGCAGGAAACGTCTTTTGTAATCAATTGCATGCTGAGCTGCGATCTCTTCTATCTGCTGCATTCTTTCTGCATTATTCGAATCTGCAAAATGCAAAACGTGCGCGTTAGCAATAATTAATAATCTGTAGATCTTGTACTTTGTCAGAAGAAACTTACCAGCCTAGAATGAATTTTTCTTCCCGTTCGAACTCGATAAAATCGCTTGACTTTTGTAAGATTAGTTTGTATAAATGTTGCGGTCTTAGGGTATCGTGTTGGACGGAACGTTTACAGTGTTCTAACAACAATTGTAACTCAATTTACGTGCGAACAAACGTGCATATTAATATACCACGATCACGAGTTTCTCTTTTCATTAGCACGCTAGATCGGCTTCCCTTTCTCCTTGCTCCTCTATTCTGCTCCAGGTCCTTTCTATTGTGGCCGGAATTTCTGTTAAAGACCACTATTCTGTCATTTCGTTTCGCTTTAAACATTTTCTCGTGCCGTGAAACGTTCGCGTTGACGCGATGATGCATGAACGCACAGTGATTCGGTTTTTCAGTGCCCTCGGCGTCCGCGCTCCGCCATGCGGAATATAAAATGGCGGAGCTACGAGACTTCCGGTCGTCGATCTCTTTACCCGCGGACGTTGCTTTTTCGTCGCGTTCCGCTGTCTCGAGCTTATTAACACTAGATTTACAGAGCACAAGAAACAGCGGTTTTATATCGGTTTATAAAAGCAACGATAAGACATTTATTCTGATTTTTAAGATGTGTTATTGTAACATTTGCCGTAACATATAAATTGAGTAAATAACTTATATATGTATCTNTGTTCTCACTTGTTAGCTCTGGTTATTCGCTGCGGTATTAATAGTTTCGCTGCGCAGATTCGTTTATCTCGCGGATCGGCTGCTTCTTCGAGTGATCGATGCGCGGCTCCTTTCCGGATCCCCTCGCGATTCACGGTAGATCGTAGATCTGTTCGACTGTGTTGCTTGGCACCCTAGAACATACGCTGTATTTGATTCCTTCCTGTTCTCTTGCACGAGTTGCATCACTCGTGAATTTATCGAGCAATCTTCGTAATTAACGATTAAATTGTTCGCACCTTACTAATCTCGATAAACAGATACACATTCTTGCAGGAAACGTCTTTTGTAATCAATTGCATGCTGAGCTGCGATCTCTTCTATCTGCTGCATTCTTTCTGCATTATTCGAATCTGCAAAATGCAAAACGTGCGCGTTAGCAATAATTAATAATCTGTAGATCTTGTACTTTGTCAGAAGAAACTTACCAGCCTAGAATGAATTTTTCTTCCCGTTCGAACTCGATAAAATCGCTTGACTTTTGTAAGATTAGTTTGTATAAATGTTGCGGTCTTAGGGTATCGTGTTGGACGGAACGTTTACAGTGTTCTAACAACAATTGTAACTCAATTTACGTGCGAACAAACGTGCATATTAATATACCACGATCACGAGTTTCTCTTTTCATTAGCACGCTAGATCGGCTTCCCTTTCTCCTTGCTCCTCTATTCTGCTCCAGGTCCTTTCTATTGTGGCCGGAATTTCTGTTAAAGACCACTATTCTGTCATTTCGTTTCGCTTTAAACATTTTCTCGTGCCGTGAAACGTTCGCGTTGACGCGATGATGCATGAACGCACAGTGATTCGGTTTTTCAGTGCCCTCGGCGTCCGCGCTCCGCCATGCGGAATATAAAATGGCGGAGCTACGAGACTTCCGGTCGTCGATCTCTTTACCCGCGGACGTTGCTTTTTCGTCGCGTTCCGCTGTCTCGAGCTTATTAACACTAGATTTACAGAGCACAAGAAACAGCGGTTTTATATCGGTTTATAAAAGCAACGATAAGACATTTATTCTGATTTTTAAGATGTGTTATTGTAACATTTGCCGTAACATATAAATTGAGTAAATAACTTATATATGTATCTTTACGATATGAATAATTGTAAATTAAAAAATTAGTGACCCGTCATTTCGACGCGTTGATCTAGTGTTATGAACTTTATTGATTTTATTACGGATTATAAACGGTTCATCTTCTTATTCATAACACACCGTGAAATAAAATAAAACGAATAAAATAAAACAAGAAAATCAAATAACATAAAATGGAATAGAGTGAAATACAATAAATTAAACTAATATAAAATGCAATAATTTATACAACGAATTTCAAGTTATACTATTATTAAACTATTAATACTATTCATAATAAATAATTCCATTTACATAAATTTACATAATTCGAGCTGCTATGGCGGACTGCGTCGGGTGTTTGTGCCAAACTCATTTTTGACTATGTAACAGTGTGATGCTACCGATTGTCATATATGATCAAATTCAATCGATTTAAAATTGTTTCTTATAAGGCTTGTTCACGACTCTTAGAAATAACTACAAAAATCTAAGCGCGGGTGATGCGATCGTTATCGGTCTCCTCGTCTCATCATTTACTGCGAGCCAATAAAAATTCGTGATTTACTGATCAACGTCCGATTGTTTCGGTGAACTTGATCCACAGCCGAGGCAGCAACGCTTCTGGGAGCACCGCCGTGCCCAGATCCATGGGGCATCCATGCTTATCCGCATCCGGAGAGCTGCAACGCCTATTTCCTCTGCACGAACGGCACCCTGACCCTCGAGTACTGCGAGAACGGACTGCTTTTTGACGGCCACGGATCCGTGTACCAGCACTGCAACTATAACTGGGCGGTAAAGTGTGGCGATCGCAAGGCTGACCGTAAGTATCGCGTTGCGTTCCCGATAAATCGCGGCAATGCCGCAACAAACGCGCCCGAGGATTTGTCTTTCGCTGGTAAACAGGCATTTTTACAGCAGCAACGTCGCGTTCACATTCGATAACGAGTATCAGTGACAATTGTTGTCTCATTCGTTTCATTCTTTCAAGGCTGGCTTCCTGGTTGCGCAATGAAAAGTGCTCGATCTCTTTATTTTTTTTTCAAGCAATTGTGACGATGTCCAGTGAATGAACGTTTAACACGAGATTTACAGAATCCGTCAAAACGACGAATTACGAATTACATCGTAATCTAATTACTTTGTATTTTGTAATTGCAATTACGAATTACATTGTAATGTAATTACTTAGTATTTTGTAACTGTACTCCAATTGCAATTACAAATTACATTGTAATCTAATTACTTAGTATTTTATAATTGTAATTCAATTGCAATTACGTTGTAATTTAGTTGAATGGAAATCCGAAAACGTAATTGTATTATTTATTTATTGCATTAATTATAAAATTACAAAAAAATAAAAGAAAAAGAAATATAAAGAAATATAAAAATACAGAAAAAAATCAGATATAATAAGATAATGCAAGTGAATCACTTCGTAATAATAATTAATTACCAATTAAGTAATTGCCAATTGCAATTCTGCTCAAAACACTGTCTACTAATTCGTTTCCATCATCCTCCATTTTACGATCATATTTTCCAATGTACAGTAAACTCTTCCTAATTGACGCTAAGATTGTGCACAACAATGAACAACTTGCGACACGTTTTTATAGTTGTTGGCGATCGGTAACTATGAAAACGTGCCGCTAGAGTCGAATAATCGTATCTCCTCTTCCCAACTTGTCCATTTTCGTATACAATCCGAGCGTCAATTAGGGAGAATTTACTGCAAACAGCCCCATTTCTGCGGCCGATTGGCAGAGACATAGCCTCCCTCGTTAGCATATCTCATCGCTATTAGCATATCTCAGCTTTCTCCGAAACGCGCGTGTAACATTCCGCGGACTGGTTTTTAGTTACTCCTCTGAGCAGTCCCGGCTGCGAGTACCAATTCGGCATGTACCCGGCCAGCGACGCGTGCAGCAACACGTACATCAAGTGCGTCCACGGGATTCCTAAGGAAACCCCGTGCGACGCTGGATTAGTATACGAGGAGAAGAGTCACACATGCGTCTGGCCGGATCAACTGTTGCCCTACTGCAACCCGGAGGAAATCGTCGGCTTCAAATGCCCCCACAAAGTGCCGTCGCACAGCGCCGCTGCCAAATACTGGCCCTATCCTAGGTATGTACGCTAATCCACGCACTATACTTCTAGAAACATTCTGAAATCGCTCGACGACTTTCAGCGAAACTGCTGAAATTTTTCTTTCGACCCGAAGTTCACAGTTCTAGAAAACAGAGCATTAATTGTTGGCCTAATCGATGCGCTTGTGACAACTGCACTTGCGATGTACATTATTTAGATGAACTATTTATACTGCTTTTTTTGCTTATGAAAGTTATTGGAAGGGAAAATATGTTTTGATTCAGCTGCCGATTCTTGGAATCGACACAGAACGGTTTCATATTGCATAAATATCTGCTAATAAATATCTTAGTCTCTTCGTACGTTTATTATGATTTCAACGTAGGCAAATGCTAATATTATGCTTGCATTGCGATCGTTGATAAGTTTATTGCTAAACTGTCGAGTTTTATGGAAATGCATGAATCGATACGTCATTACGATTTTGCATATCGCATTCGTTTTGCATATTTTAGTCGGGAAACGTGTGCGCAGCGTATGCAACGCGAATTGTTACTTAAATTGAAATTGTTAAATATCTATTACACTAAATATTTAACAATTATTATTATTATCATTAATTATTATTATTATTAATTATTAAATATCTATTACACTAGCCAGATAAATCTGTGGTGAATATCTCCGCACATTTTCCTTTCATAAACGCATACTTTTATATTTGTGAACGCATAGTTTTCGTGTATATTTGCATATTTCATGAGGATAATGTAGCGTATATTTTTTGCGTATTTTACGTGCATACAAATCCACGGTCCAGTTATTACATTTGTTACTAATGCTAGGTTTACGAAGCAAAAAGAGCAGCATTGCTTCACTAAAATAATAAGCAAAAGACGTATTTCGTAAAAATAACATTACAGCTTTTTCTAATGACTTTTTTCATAATATACGAGTGGGTTGGAATCATAATAAGGAACAAGAAATATTATTGCCTACTAACATGTGTATCGTATACCGATTAAAATCGTTAACGTAAATGATGAAATTACTATAAATTAACTTAACTCCAAATTGACTTATTTCACTTGCCTTTTTGAAACATTTTGGCAGGCATAAATTATACTTTCTTAAAAATAAGTAAAAATTTTCGGAAATGTGACTGGCTACGATTCTAACCCACTAATACGTCAAATGAATAAATTGCGACAATTCGGACAATTTAAAAACGAAAGTACACGTCATTCTGACGCGTTCCGTAAACCCAGTCTTAACACAACCAACAAGGAAACATAATTTCTCATTAACTCGAAACGGCTTCCGAGGCAACGATGCTTCCTAAAGATTCCGCACGGTAATCTTTATTTACCAACGTCCCGACTGTCTTCCGATTACGCTTCTTTTTTCGTTTCTCAAGAAACGGAAAAGAGTTGTTTGCGAGTTTATTTAGGAATGCACGGGATCGGGCACAGATCGTGGCTTTTTATCGCCGGCTTCTTGCTCGCCCGGCAAAAAGGCGTACACGTGTGAAAGTCGACGGAGAGGCTTTCTCGATAAACTGCGGAGCACGGTGAAAGAGCCGCGCCGCTCGGAAATATCGCGCGGTACGGTTACCAAAACGAGCAGGAGTCCTTAAATATCCGGCGATTTACGTTCGCCCGGCGCGCAAATTAAAAACCGGTCTAAAATCGTCTTGGAGAACCGCGCGCCCGCTGCGAGGCGACACATGTTTTAAGGACGCTCGTCTCTCCGTGCTCGACAATCGCATTGTCTCCGATTTTTATTACTCTGGCAACTCCGTCCGGACGTTGTTGTGATCACCTAAGCTTGCGCGTGTCGTCGCATCTTTCATTGATTACGTGCTCTTCGAGAGATTATTTCAGTTGCAAGATTCGTGAAAGTTAAGTTTGCGAGATTTATGGAAATTTGATTCGTAAGATTCGCAGAAGTTTCATTTGCAAGATCTGTAGAAATTTTGTTCGCAGGATTCGTGGAAATTTCATTTCGACATATTCGGTTTAAGTTCATTCTGTATTATTCGGTTTAGGTTCATTTTGTATGATTCAATTCGCGTTAATTTTGCATTATTCGGTCGAAGTTCATGTCGCAAGAATCTTTCAGCAGCTCCGTGAATCTTATATTTCTCAAAGTCTCGCCGCCATTTTGATTTCGACGACCGTCGGCGACAATTAGCACGTAGAAACGATCGCGTGAACTAAAAATAATTAACAAAGAAAAATTCGAAAGGACATTCTCCGAGTTCCGTGCAACGAAAGGTTTATTCGCCGGTAAAATTATTCTAAAAATGTTGCCTGTATTATCGCCGCCATCTTGGATTCCAAAAGCCACAAATACCCGCAAAGATAAAACGATTCTACACGTAAGAGTTTAACGATTGATTCGAAGTTATTCACACGCGAGAGTTCAAACGTTAATCGTTAAACTGCTAACAGATTACTCAACGCTAAGATTATTCTAAAAATGGCGCGTAAGAATCTTCATCTTGGATTTCATCACGGCGGAACGAACGCGCTCGCAGATCTCCCGCGATCATTGAATAATCGATCAAACGAACGTACAGATTTGTTCACAAGTATTTCAAGTATTTTTCTCCATTAGATTCCCAGTGCCCGGTGATTGCGGAAGATTGATCACCTGCGTGGATGGTCATCCTCGTTTGCTCACCTGCGGCGACGGCAAACTCTTCGACTCCGTCAGCCTGTCCTGCTTGGAGCCCGAGGAACTGCCTCACTGGTACTCGCTCGATCTTTTAGCCACATAGTTTCAAGCAACCATAAACCGATCGTTCGCATTAATCACGTCCCACGATCGTCTCTGTTTCAGTGCCAATAATCTTTAAATAGAAAAGTGACATCAGGAAGTCTCCAACAAGTCTCCGCAGCCGATAATCTAAAGCAACTCCTGGTAACAAGATGGCGCGACCTAATCCCGTCTTTGGCATAGACAGAAATCGCTGAAACCTGGAACATCAGCACAGTTCTCCCTTCGACCGGCTCGATCCAAAAAAAGGTTCCAAATTTTGAGGCACTGCACACCGAGAGGGGACGCGAAATTCTTCGAAGAGGCGAAATGATCTGTACGACGAGCATGTTCCGAATAAAATGTGGACACCAGTACGAAAAAAAAACATATACAACGTACACTTTATTTTCAACGAGTCTACAATCGTACATGCGTGAACGTTTCCGATAGCAAAGAGTCTTACGATTAAGAGCGAAGGGCAAGGTGAAAAAAGGGGGAGGGTTGGTGGTCGGGGAGAGGTGGGGGATGGGTAAATAGAGTAGTATTTACACTTCGACCTACAAGGGTGGAAGAACGTGTTCCTTACGATTAGATCCTCTTAGCCTACGTGCAGACGGTCTACGGGCTCGACCGGAGAGAATACGGGAAGAAACAATCGTACCAAAAAGGGGGAGGGTGGGGAGAACGTACCAAGATTAATAAATCCTTCGACTATGAACATGCTAGAACGAAGCGTTATTTGCGATACACGTTTAAGAAAAGTACTCGGTTCAGCGCGTTTCGCTCTGCTCGCACCAATTATTAATTGTTCGTCGTTCAACAGTGCCTGATATTCTTACGGAATCGATGAAAAGACTTCGGGGTTAGGTTAGCTTCTCGCAGAGAAATATTAAAGACATCAATTTTTATTCTTTTCGACCGTGACACGCCACCGATTTGAAAAATCTGAAAACATGCATTTCCACGATTTTTCCGAGCAGAATTTTCGATTTAAGAATGTCGAACGAATTGTGGATTATGCATTTGCTGTTTCGCTGGTTTCAGATTTTTCTCCGAATTTTTACAAGATTATTAATTAGAGAAATCGGGCCAAAAACCGATTATTCGATTTCACCTAGAAACTACCCTCTACCCGATCAAGATACCGGGTTGGAATTTTGCACAAGTTTTTGTCGAGTTTTTATCGAACGGCGCGTCGGAGATATAATTCGTTAAGGGCTCTTTTCACCCCCTTGCACGGCTATACCCTTTCCCCTCTACGTTAGCCTGAAGTTCGATCACTGGAAAATCCCTCGGATCTCGCAGAGAAATTTTACGTTAGCACCTCGACTGCCGAAATAATTAGCTGAGATTTGAACATTCTTTTTTCTTTTTTAACTAATTCATTCTATCTTCCTGACTCGATCCGGATTGTAATTTTAGGATTGAAATAGTTCCGATGAAGTACTTTAGCTTACAAGGAGGACTATTTAACTGACGACAAAATCGCACCGATTTTTTTATGCAGATCGAAAGTACATGTGTATTACGAAGATCACGAATATGTCAATTAAAAGGACGATCAAGGTCTGGAATGACCTTGAGAGATCAACGAAGAAGGAAGGAAAATTGGGGATGCTGATTATTGTTTGGAATTTGTTTAATTTTCCGCTGACTTTCATTTAATATTATCTATTTATTATCGCTAATCCCTGCTAATTATTATTCATCGTCATTTATTAATATATTATCACTAGACTACGGATTTTATGCACTTATGATAAAAACGAGAGAGAGCGAAGTATAAAACAGAAAAAGAATCTAAAGAATTCGAAAATGTTGATATATCAAATATATATATATATATATATATATTTATATATTCAAATATATTCAAATTATTTGATATATTCAAATGATTGAAGGAGAAAAGAAATTTCCATTTGGCTTCTGTTTCTTAAAAACGATGCAGAATACTTTGACTTTGCATAAAGTTCCGCAGCCTAATATAACCTACTATAATTTCCTATAATCAAATTTCACGCAAAGAGACAATTACTTTTGAACAGACGGTTTATCATTCTCTCTCCCTCGCTTCTTCTTCCTCCTTCGTTGACCTCTCAAAGTCTTTGAATATACAAATTTACAAATTTACAAATTTTGAATTTACAGCTTCGAATTTACATTTTTGTGATCTCCGTGACACGTTCTTTCGATCTATCTATACAGATCCGTGCGATCTTGTCACCGATCGAATAACTGTTCCTTGTCAGCGAAAAATCGTCCAGATTGTCGAAGCAGTTACCGCGGCAGTCGAAGCGTCAGGGTAACGGTGGCTGCTGTGAAATTCTAGACGGTTTTGCGAAACGCGTTGATTATGCTTATCGATAGACTGCGGATCTTTATGCAAAATGAAAAACGTCTTGCATCAGTTGCAAGACGTACAGATGTATCATTCCTTCTTCCATAATTTTAATTGGCTGAGACTAGTGTACCGATGTTTTCCACTTATCTCAACCCTTTCACCGTTTCAAATCGCGCACTCTCGCTTTTTCTCACGAATGCATAAAATATCCGCAGTCTACTTAACAATCCTCTCTCGATCGACGAGACGCCGCCGTCGGAGCCCGGCGGCGATCCGATTCTGCACTCAGTTCTGAATCGAATCGATTCTCGATCGCGCTGCTTCCGAGCTATTGCTACCTGTGCCCGGAGGACTCGTTAGTTTCTGGGACGAGGTCGAAGGGGAATCGGGAGCGCGCCTGCCGGCAGAGGCGGCACGCCGGGCGGCAGGTTCTCCTCTTCCGGTTCCTGCTCGTTCCGACCTTCCGGAAGGTCGCCGTCGAGGTTCGGCGGTGTCGTCGGCACGTCGCAGTCCTCCGTGGGCGGGACCACGCACCTCAACGACCTTCGGTCGAACACCAGCATCGCGGGGCACCTTTGCAGCCGCGGGTAGCCGCCTTGACATTGCCAGTAACGGTTGCAGGACTTGCCCAGCGGGACGTTTCCGTTCGCGTCGTCGTTGCACAGAGCTGTCGGGGATACGATTACGTGTAACCGGATAGCTTCGGCGTAACGGCCCGGCAACGTGGAGCCTCGCCACGTTTCGGCGTCCGGAGACCTTCAGGCTACAATCTCTCTCGGACCCGAAATCCACGCGAAATCGCGGATTTCTCGCGAAAATCGCACATTTTTCATCGTCGATCTTCGTACCGTTGGTATTTCGGAAGAACAAGATCGTATCGCAATAATTCTATACTCGTTTTGAAGCTTGAACTTTCTACTTTTGTCAGACATTTTTCGTTTTTTTTGTAACTTGTTTCTACATAATGTAACAGGTGCGAAACTGCGTTCATGCTCGTTCTGACTATGTGAAGGATAGAAACGGCTCTAAGTACACCGGAGAATTTTTTTCGTAATTGAGCCCAACGTTAATTTGAAGATTGAAGCTTCCTCTTTAAAATAGCTACTTGAACTTCGATGTAGGATTTTTTTCGGCCGCTTTATTGAGCTTTAAGCGATAGCTGTACTGTCCACTTTATAGGAGTAGAAGGTACGCTGGAACGTGTCCTTCGTTCCTGTTCCATGGATCGGCTGGGAAAAATCGCGCACTGAGTTTTGTGGAGTCGTTGTAAAGAGGAAGCTTCATTCTTTAAATCTATGACAGATTCGTCCGTAGGAATAATTTTCCAATCATTTTACGCAGGTTCGAATGCGTAAGGTTTGCGAGTAAATCTGTGTCTTCAGTTTTCCACCTGTTGCATCGCCTCGAAGTATGTTCGAAAAAGACAAGTTACGGATTATGAAAGTACAGGCTTCAAGCTTGAAAATGAGTCCAGGCTCGTTGTTCTGCGATTCGTTTTAACGAAATTATAACAGTTCGAATGTCGACGATTTATGGAAAATCGAAAAATTTATTGTGCGAATAATTTTTGGTGATCGTCATTTGTAATAACTACACTGCGGATTTTTATGCGAAATAAGAATTGTCTATATTAATTTCAACAAAATAAAGAGCTCGTCTTCGTTTTTAATATAATTTTTAATGGGTTGAAAATAATGTAACAGCATTCTTAAAATCTCATAGTCTCTCCGATGTTTTGTGTTTCGCCTATACATTTGTCTTATAAATGCATATAAATCCGCAGTATAGTAATTACAAACATGCTTCTAATTAAAAGCTCGTCAAGAAACAAGTGCGAGCAGCGATACCTCTACATTTTTGGGACACGTGTGAGAAGCAATCTCGATGGAGGCATGCAAGATTAAATCCATCAAGGTTAATGCGACTCCGATACCTGAAACCCGGTATGATTTATTCAATGATCCGAAAGGCGTTTATAAATAATTTATCAACTTCTCGGATAAAATGTTCGCGTCGGATGAATATTCATGAAGCGTTAAACATCGAGGGGATTGAAACCGGCGATGAATTATAAATTCTTGCCAGCCGGTAATCTTTGTAGCCAAGCAAATATTATTTTATTAAGAATATTCACTCTGTGGCTATCAAATCTTGAATTCGCTTACCTCTCCAAGCACTTGTAAATATTTTTTACAATAAATAAGAAACGAATGCAATTATTTATTTACTTATTAATGATTTAGACCAAATTAGTCGCATCTTCAATGAAATTGAGTTTTCCAAAACCTGTGCAGTGCTAGAAGCGATTCTTAAATTTTTAGTGAGCTCAAAATCGTGCAACATGAACGTATCGAAATAAAAATGATATCCTGCATGATTAAAAAAACCGCGGTTAATTTAGAAATCTGAAATTCAGTTGCTACAGTTGCTGACTCTATTTCCAACTCATCGAAAACATTCGCAGAAAGTGCTGACTTTGTGGGAAGGTCTGCGGTTTAACGAAGTTGCAACGACCGCGAAATATAGAATCGTGTGATGAAGATTCCACGAGGCCCCATGATCAATGGGAAGTCCGTCGAGCAGTCGGACAGCCACTCGTTCACCATTGACGATGCGTGGGGCAACCGAAGGCGCGACAAGAGCTCACTTCGAATGCTAATTAGGCGGCTCGCCTCCTTTTCCCCGCAGGGAGCAATGACTTCGCTTGAAGTCCTCTCGCGCTGGCGAAGAGAGAGAGAGAGAGAAAGAGAGAGAGAGAGAGAGAATCGAGGAGAGCCGCGTGTGCACGCTGATATTCGTGTGCTCCTTTCCGTACGTGGCCGCTTTCGAAAGTGAGAATGATCGCGGCCATCGCTCCGGGGTAAATATGTTTTGCGTAAGAGACGACGGGAACAGCTGTTTCCCGAAGCGAGTAAAAGTTCTTAGCCAAATAACAAGGACGTCACGGATATCGCAAACCGCAATCATGAATCTTGATAAACAGCCGCAAAGGGTTCGAAGACAGCAGCGATAACGAGGCAAAATTAAATATATAAAGGGGAAAATAAAGAATTATTTCCACAAGGAAAACATTACTTAAAGACGACAAGAATAAAGGGAAAAAATTAAATAAATAAAGAGGATAATTATTTTCGTAAGGGAAAGATTGTTTAAAGACGGCAAGGATAAAGTAGAAAAATTAAATATATAAAGAGAAAGATCAAGAATTGTTTCCATAAGGAAAACATTGTTTAAAGACAGCAGATATAAAGAGAAAAAGTGAAATAAATAACGAGGAAAATCAAGAATTGCTTCTACAGGAAAAATATTCTTCAAAGACAGCAAAAATAAAGAGAAAAAATGAAATAAATAACGAGAGGAAAATCAAGAATTATTTCCACAAGAAAAACATTCTTTAAAGATAGCAGATATATAAAGAGAACAAATAAATAAATAACGAGGAAAATCAAGAATTGCTTCTACAGGAAAAATATTCTTCAAAGACAGCAAAAATAAAGAGAAAAAATGAAATAAATAACGAGAGGAAAATCAAGAATTATTTCCACAAGAAAAACATTCTTTAAAGATAGCAGATATATAAAGAGAACAAATAAATAAATAACGAGGAAAATCAAGAATTGCTTCTACAGGAAAAATATTCTTCAAAGACAGCAAAAATAAAAATGAAAAATGAATCAAATAAAGAGGAAAATCGAGGATCATTTCTACCAAAAAAACAGCGTTAAGAACAGCAAAGATAACAAGATAAAATTAGTTAAAATTCATATCAACATCCATCTAGAAAAACGAAGAATTATTTTCACAACGAAAATAAAATACAGCAAACGTAGCGATGATAAAATTAGTAAAAACGTAATAACCATGATTAATCGCAGAATCAGGGCAACCATCACCAAGTGAAAACTTTTCCCATGTGAAATCCTCCGTCGCAATAAAATGCCATAGCGAATGAATCGGCGTTACTCACGATGCTTCTGGCATCCCTCGACATTCTCGGGCCAGTCGCAGGACCTGGCTCTCTCATTGTAGAGGAGACCACCGATGCAAAGTTGCTCGGTCGCGGTGCCGTTCCAACAGGTCCAGTACCTCGTGCAGGATGTCTCGTGGCCGAAAATGCCATAAAGCCAGTCGCAATGGTCCGCTGGGATCGGCGGGTTCGCCTGGCGTTTGCCGTCGCAGTAATTCGCCCTCCACGGATAATCGCAGCCCTCGGTCACACCGCGGTGTTTCCCGGCGAACACCAGGCCGTTTGGACAGTCGAACAACTCGGGACGACCGTTCACGCATTCCCAGTAGCGGTCGCAGTACTCTATATCACCGACGACTCGCGACTTTGTCTGGCATGGGTCCTCTTGCTGCTGCTTCTGGGCGTACGAACCTGCAACGACCATTGTATTTTTTAGTTTCGTACAAAGACCTCGTTCAAATAATAATCATTCCTTAAAAGACTCTAATGTATATGTATATTACTTTTAAATTGATTTAAAAACTTTTAACTCGGTTGTTCGTTCAAATACATTTATAATAAATTTGCAAATATCGGATGATTATTGAACAAATTGTTGAACACATTGTTGAGCTCGGATTATCATTGAAATAATTTTTGAATGAGTTTTTAAACTCGTATGGTCATGGAAATAAATTTTTAATGGATATGTAAACTCGTATGATTATTGAAATAATCTTTGAACAAATTTTTAAACTCGGATGATCATTCAAATAATTGTTTAACAATCTTTTACCCTTAAGATGATCGACGAAATAAATCTTAAATAAGCTTCTAAACTCTTGGACGATCATTGAAATAATTTTTGAATGAACTTTTAAACTCGGTTGGTCCTTGAAATAAATTGTTAAGAATCAATTCCAACCGATTGCTACATAATAACGCAACCATAAGCCGTTCCCAGTCCCATAAATTTGAAGAAAAGCCGTTCGGTTCTAAACAGAAGGAAATTTCAAGAATCGAGGAACACGTAAAAGTGATTTACAGACCGAAATTCTTTCCTCGACGTTCGAACGACTAACGAACGCCAATTACGAAATCTTTGACAGTAGATCAAACATTCGTCGACCCGCCGTTCGAGTTAAAAGCCGCGTTTACGTGTTTTTCTATTCCGGAATAATGCGAGCAGGAAATTAAGAAAGGCGAACGGCTCTTGCAATTAAATATCAAGTTGCACGTTGCAATTGATTCCGTACGAGCGAGGAACGTCGTTCCCGGCGACCGTGAGCCACGGTAACATGATTTCTCGTTGGATCCGATCGAACGATCCGTGAGTCATCGTTCGTTGGCACATCGATCAAGGGGACGCGTTGCGATCCGGCTTTTCTTCGAACGATTCATGTTCCGTCTGAGAAAGTTCCAGAAAATTTATTATTTTCTATGGAAATACGACTTTTCCTTGGCTCGGAAATGTTGCAGTTGATTGAACGTGTTGTTGATCGATTTGTTCATTCCTCAACAGACATATATTTCTAAATTTACTTAATAAATAAAATTATTTATTATTATTATTATTATTACTATTATTATATATTATAATAATTTGTTATATACTGTTATATTTAACAGCAAGGTTACTAATATTTCAAGCCAGTTTTCATTCGATTCTTAAGAAAAAAACCGATGTCAATCGGTTCCCTCGTGCTCGAAGCTCCGGTGGTCGAAAATTGAACATAATTTTGAATCGAATAAAGTTTACACGTGCCTTTTTAGCGCGTCGAATTTTCTCCATTCGCGATATCATGCGCTTTCGCACAGATTCCCCAAATTAATGAAAAACCGGGCGCGCAATTTTCGAGAGTGCGACGCGTCGCAACGATCGAGCCCTGAGAAGTCGGAATTACGCGAACAAGTTTCAATGAGACGAACAATAGTCCATAAATCGCGATGATTCAGGTTAAGGCTCGACCGGCGGCGTCGTCGGAACAATGAAGTGACTCTAATTACCGCGAGGCTGTTAGAAGGCGACCAGAAGTATCGCTTCGCTATCTTCGTTTTATCGCGTTCTTTTCGATTGTCTACGTCAGGCCGGGGCTACGCGTCGCGGCGTATCGCGTCATCGAAACGCGTTTTAATCAGAGAGACAAGCCGCGCTAATGCAGGCCGCGCGCGACGCAGAATGCAATTCCCCGTGCGATACTTTCTCAGATGCCAGCCGCGATTGGAAAGGCGTTAATGTTCCTTATAATCATCATCGTAGACCCGTGAGAAAACAATGATACAATCGGCGAAACACAAGAATCACCGGACGTTACGAAAGTTTTATTCTAAGCTCTATCCTAGGCTTCTAGCATGAGCTTTATTGTTAGCTATGATTTACGCTACGAAGTTCTCCAATTCATCTATTCGATTCTGTTCGCCGATCGTCGCTGCTCTACGACGTCGTATAACTTCGATGAACATTCTATTACAATCTTCTTTTTTATTAAGCTATCAAACCAAGCAACACGATGACTCTATTATTTATTTATTTATAACCAGATGACTTATTTAACAGATACAGGGTTATTGCATGTATATATGTTCGATATTACTTACTGTTAGTTTCTATATTCTTGCGGAACATCGTTCGAGAAAATGATAAATTATTTATAATTTATTTTTGTTATATTTATTTATTGCATTCATTTTATTATAATTTATTTTATTTGTAAAATTACATAAGAGGGAACTAATGCGAAGAGGAAAGTAGTTCTTGTCCTTGAGAAACTTTGTTTCTGGCGTAATACTAATGGACGTAATTCTAACGCGGTTCTAATGAATGTTTCTAAATTTAAATTTAACAGTAAAACGCACGAAGCTCTGCAAGGTGCAAAACAATCTCCACTGTTACTAGTATAACTCTCAATAATGAATGTTTCTAAGGACTTTTTCTAGTGAATTTATTTCAATTACATGCCACAAGAGCACACACACACACTATATCAAAACATCTAATTAAAGCGGAGACATACGTATATTGCGGAGGATTGAAAGGTTGAGATCGTTATAATAAATCTCGACGGAATAGTCGCCGGTTCGCGGAGCAAATTGCCGTAATTCCGCGAGTCTCGACGGCGGACGGGATAAAAACGGCTGTTGAGGAAGGCAGAAAGATTGTTCCCCGGAGAAGAAGTAAATGCAGAGCGCGGCACGATATTAATTTCCAGGACGGCGTTTTCGCTCATCTCGGTGGCACGGCGCGACACAGCGCAACGGTTTAACCACAGGGGACTCTACACGTAGCCCACGCAATATCTCGGGGGGCCCCCTAATGGGTGTAATTCGGTCTGTATTCGGAGTGGCCAGGTAGAAAAGTAAATAGTAAAGTAAGGTGGGAAGCCAGCCAGCAGCGCGCTCCCAAGAGAGCACGCTTCGCTCCCAAGTGAAAGTGCCTAGCCTTGACTTGCAACCTTCAGGGCACCTCTTTCCTCCGTACCATGCTCCATAAAGTCCAACATTCGATTCACAACGTTTCAGCCGACGTCGTTCCCATCTTTCTTCGAGAACTCGTCGATGGTCGGTAAACAGCCTTTCGGATTAAATGGAACGTGCTGAAGTGGGTTTGTCAGCGAGTACTCTCGTCGACTTGGCTACTTCAGTGGCAAAGGTGTGAATTTTAGGGAAATAAATGGCAAAGTAATAGTATCTGATCTTTCTTATATTAATTGGCATTCTAAATAATGATAAATCAATTTTTGTCGCACTTTTAATATTTTTTTTATTAATTATTTATCTTCTGGCGCAATATTTATTTTCCATGTTATAGTTTTCACTCTTTTACATGAAAATAGGTGAAAATTTTGTTTATTGTATTTGATTTCGTCGTAATTAAATTGTTTAAACGATAAACGAACGATTGATTGCGATCTCCTTTGTTCTAATCGGCTTTCTATGTAACGAAACTTTCTTGTGGCAATTTTATCATTTTTTATAAATCCGAACAGATTTAGGAATGCAGAGATTGTTGTGAATTAATGTATGGTAATTTGTATTGGCACCGCAGAGTCGTCATACGAGTGCAAAAAGGTTTAAGTACACAAACATTGCTATGTTCAAAATGAAAAATCGCCAATGCGAAAATTGAAGGAGCTATTAAAAATGATTAAGAATTAAAAAAAATGAAAAATTACAAAGAATTTTCTGAGTTCATTCCACTGGCATAATTCGTTTTATCTGCTTGTCTGTCGATGAAAGGCTACTTCCACGTCAATTCCTTCCTGCCTGTTGCAAGTACTTGATTTTAGCAGTTTAAACGATAAATAAATAATCGATTGAGGAAGTACTAAAATCCAAAAAATATTCAAAAATATTAAATCTTTTTCGAGGCTGGGTCTCCAAGAATTTAGCGTCAGCGTTTTATTAAGAACAGCATGACTTCCACCCCTCGTTGGAATGCGATCCGAGCGAGCGGAGCTAGCCGCTATCTATAGTAGTTCCGAAGCTTAAAAACAGAAGAGGCAGAAACGGAGAATGATTCAGAAGTTGTTCGGTGATTTTCGTAAATGGATCTTGATCTGTTCCTTATGAATGGATCGCAGGGATTTCAGGGTTCCTTTTCCTTTTTATCTCGAAACGTGTTCTTTTTCGAAGGCGGCTGGCTGAATGTCAAGGATACGCGCGTTTAAATTATGCAAAACAGGATAATCTTATCTGGGGGATCTCCGTCTCGTCGGGGTACAAGTCGAAGTGGGTCCTGCACTTACGGTTATTTTTAAAGATCAAGTTACTCGAAGCAATCGCTGTTGAAATTGTTTAACGATTATGTTCTTGAGGGAGCTCGTTCTGTTTTTAGGAGAGATGTGAAACCGTCGAAAGAAAAACCTGATTTAAATTGTACCGATTCAAATTGTACTGATTCATATTGTACCAATTTAAATTGTACTGATTTAAATTACAAAAAAATTGTGAGTTGTTTCAGAATTTTTGTGCTTCAAGTAAAATGAAATTAACAATCGTGAAACAACAATTGCTTTACCATAATCGTTTATCGAACGATCGTGAATTTAAGAATGTTGTCACACTTTTCGCATCTTATTAAGATATCGGAGGAAGAAAAAACTTCTAATCTATGCAAACCTTCATGCAAAATCAAAATGTTGTTCAAAATTTGCGTGAAACTAAATAAAACTGTATATCTTCTTCGAATAGCTTTAATCAATTGAAAATAATGTAACAATATTCCTCTAAATTCTGCTACTCTATTTTATTATTTATTATTTATTTCTATCATCTATTATTTTCTATTTCTGTCGTAAAATTCTTGCAATAAATGCATAATATCCGCTACCTAGTGATTATAATAATTTCTCGACCGGATACCAGAAATTTCCAGCGCGCCGGTCGATCATAGTTAATGAAACGATCATTCGAACGAGCAATGTCCGGCGGCA